AAATATTCCGTATAACTATCGCATCGTAAGTAGCATTTTCTGGTTAATTTTCTGTATGAGTATAAAATTTTGTTTGTCTTTTTTGAAATATTATGGAGAGGAGTTTAACCCGAATATGTGTTTTTCTTGTTTATTTATTATTTTTTTTTAGAAAATAGAAATAATTAATGCATATATTCGTATTTAATATGAATATTGGTTTTGTATGCAATTATTATTTGGCTTAGGAACATCACAAAATTCATTTAGATGTTCTTATCGACGACAAAAAGTTTTGATTTATTTTTTGGAACAAATTTGAGATTACTTTAATGATGAGATCAGATTTTCAAGTATACCATTTGAACATATTCAATGAGAACTTTTTGATATTTGACTATACCCAAAACTTCGATTAATGAATGCATTCGGAAATAACAATTTACAGAAATTTGGGAAATACTTTCAATATAATTAAAGATGAAAATGCTTTGTCATAACATTTTTATGGAAGGTAGTATCATCTCAGAAATTGATGTTGCCCTTATTAATTTGTAACCCATCTATCAATTTCAAATAATATGTCCTGATTTGGATTAGGCGAGTTTGCTTGCGGCAATTCTTATCTTTTTTTTTTTTTTTTTGAACTTTCTTCATACGGCTGTACAATTCGTTTTGAAAATATTTGTTTTTGTTTGACATTTTATTTATTTATTTTTTGTATTTTTGTAGAAACAAATATTAAAGGAAAAAACATTAAAGGAAAATAATAGAAATATGAATACTGCAGACAAAAATATCATGTTATGATCATGTTATGGACTACTATTGGTATTTCAAATTACTGACAAGAAATGTTTTAATATGCGACTCACAGTTTGACTTTTAAGGCTCTATTTTTTAGCGGCGACCACTCACCATCAGAAATAGCTTTTTTCTATGACATTTTCGTCAATACAATTACGTTTGGTCTTGTATGTATGTAATTTCGAACCATATTAAAGGATTATTTTTTAAGACAATCTCAAAAACATTTTAAAGAAGTAATATAGCAGTATTTGTATATGGCCGAATGTACCACACTTCAAAATACCGAATCTACCCCGAAAGTACTTTTTATAGCTTTTTTCATTATTTTCTATCAATGTTCTAAAAACCTTACTTTTATAAGAAAGGACATTGTAATTAACTACTTTCAATAATAGTGTCTTAAAAATGGAATCTTTACAAAAACATCTGTAAAAATACAAAAAACCGTGCATCTAAATAAGTCTCGATACCTATGTATCGAAAATAGTGAATATAGTAGTAGAATAGTGATTGAAGAGTTTGCCATACACATATACAAAAAGGGGCCAATCTCACATATACAAAAAGGGGTTCATCGGCATGACGGCATGATTTATAGTGTATGGGGCTCTTTAGAACCAATAATATCAAATTAGAATCAATTCGATTGATAAACGTACAAAAAATCCCAAAATATCGAATAATGGGGGTACCGTAATATGAGTGCTACTCCGAAAATTGGGCCAATATTGATAATTTTGGTGGGGAGATTCTGAATATTGGGGATAACGTTATATGGGGGGGTACCCTAAAAAGGGGACCAATATTGAAAATTTTTTGTTGGAACGTGTGCTATACCATAAGTACCTAAAATACCAAATTACAGTCTATTCGGCTGAAAATCGTGTCCAAAATCCTCAAACTAAAAAGTGGACTTAGAGCCTTTACATGATGTTACTCCAGCGACGTGTGTTGAATTGGACTAAGCGCGTTTACTAATCAATACAAAACAGCATTAAAAATGAGATAACTGTATTTTTATTTTTTTAAATCGATGTGTTTTGCCTTATTATACATAACTGTATGAAAATCTCAATTTCTAGAAAAATGGACTTGTTGTCTTTACAAGTTAACCCAGCGATATGTTTGGTTGGGCCAATAGATTATAACTCCTCTATTTTAGATCCTATATTTAGTGCGTGCTCATTATAATTTGTAAGCAAACTATATGTTGTATAGTATATTTGTTGTGTATTTTAAAATCTGTTGTATATTTTAAAATTACAATATGTCTGTATTTTATCAAGATGATTTACGAAGATGGCTGTACTTACGAAGATGGCTATATCGGTCCACGTTTAGTCGTAGTCCCAATATACCTTCCAGTTTTCGAAATTTAGAATGTCATAGCGACATTTACTGATCTAATTTGCTTTACTTTACCCTTTTCAGTCCTTAGTGGGTAGGAAATATCATTGAAATCAGAAGCGGTGGATCTATGGGTCTCATCTTCCATTTGATCTAGGTTTTATAAAATAAGGGATCAAGAAGAAGTGCACTGCTAATCGATATGTTTTGCCTTGGATCCGAAAAATTCTTGCATTACTTTAGTGGCGCCCAATGACTTCTTCTAAAACTATTTTTGGCACTTCATTAGAGGCGTCCAACGACTTCATCTCAAACTTCGGCTACTTATCGAATCGTTTAAAAACAAATCTTTGCTTACAATTTTAAAACAATTACATAAAATTGCAAGGAAATAAATCAGGGGAATTACTCTGTATTGCGATGCGTGAGAAAATTGTAACGCATCGCGTAATTGGTACTCTCTAATTCGTTTTCGTATCTCCTTTCGCATCTACTTTACGCAAATGTGGCATCACCGCACTCTGTAATACGAAAACGCATGTCAAACTAGTTTGTTAAGCGCAAATATCATGGCCTATAAATAAGGTCACCAAGGGAGACCAGCTGCATTATTGTGAATTGACTTCCATTATGAAAACGTAAACAAAGTCGAAATTTTTGACATTAGACATGAGAAAAAACAGCTGTTTTCCGATTTCGATTGCTATCTTGGTGACCTTATTAATAGATCTTGGCAAATATCTTGCGTTAACAAAATAGAAAACGCAACACAGTGATTTGGCAAAGGGACAGTTGCAGAGTTCAAATGCGAAACAACGCGCCAACAATTTGTGGACAAAACTGTCTGATGACCTCAATTCAAATTGACCTCTTGTAAAAGATGTCGATGGTTGGAAAAAGTAATGTATTATATTTTTAATATATAATGTGAAACTATGTGTGCATATTTACAGGTTGGTGTTGATAGCCACCTTGTCCAAGCAATTTCAAAGCAGCGGCCTCTTTTATTGGAATTGGAATTGTTGTGGATCTATTTGGAACAACGAGCGTTTAATAAATACATAAACAAATCTTTATTGATACGAACATTTTGTATAAATCTATAAAAATTAAATATTTGAAAACCTTTGTCACATAATTCGTACTTCTATTTTCATACCCGTGGTCACTTAGGGAGAGTATATTTGATCGATCTCATATAATTCTTTTTTTTTTTTTAATTCGTTCATCATTTTTGTTAAAAAAAAATACTCGTAGCACACAAAAATATGTTTTCATTTACAATTTTTTTTACGTTTCCTTTTGTCATTCTTCGTTATTGTTTACTTTGCGGTGACAGTGTAGCCCTATTTTCGATTTAGTTTGTGCGTTATGCGTGAGCGTTACAGAGTACCAAATTGTAATCTTAACGCATTTAGCTTTCGCATCGCACTTGCTTTCGCAACGCAATACAGAGTAACCCCCCAGCTTCTGTGGGCGGTAATTTATCTCAAAAAATGTATAATATTATTAAACAATTGAACAATTTTCTTGTATTCCTTTAGTGGCGTCATCACAAAACTCGGGTTGTATTATCGACTCCTTAAAAGACAATTCTAAATTCGATAACAATGGTTATATGGTCGAACGTAAGCAAATTACAATTGCTTAGTTATTATTTTTTGAAGGAAAATATCGATATCGAAATATAAACTAATTAAGCAGATTTGAATCTTCTTCGCCTTTCCAAATGAAGTTAGTTAGATAACTTTGCTTGAATTATTAAAAAATAATAATATGAATGCACTAGACAATAAATCAGCTTTCGTTGGCTCATTAAAAATCGATTGACATCTAAAAAATTCCCATTGAATATGTTATGGTAAGCATTATCACAAAACAGGTACATAAATATATAAAATTTCTAAGATTTTTTTCCTCCAAGAAACAATTGTATATAGGCATAATTTGTTCCAAAAACAATTGTAGTTTCCCTTTAAAAATGTTTAGCAATTAGTTTATCGTTTTGTTCTAAATTCAACGAAATTCTCTTGCCTTTTGTTTTCAATATTTAAGTTGGTTGCATAAGAGTAAGTATATGATGTTTCATTATGTAAGATTAATATTTAATATTTTAAGTGTAAAGTATAAAAAATTGTTATGGACTTAAATGTTAAATCTAAACTGTTGCTATTTTTTTGTTCTTCTTCATTCTTTTTAAATTTTCCAAATATAAAAAATTATCTTAAATTTATGTATTTTATTATTTAATTTCTTTTGTTTTTTGTTTTATTATTTTATATTTTGTTTTTTGGTTACCAAAAAAATAAATTATTTAATTATTATTAATAATATGTGCGCGTAGAATTAATTTGTTAAAGTGACAAAGAATTTTATTAATTAATTAATTACAAGCTAAATTGTTGTTGTTGTTCTTAATTTTCTTTTATTTTCATATTCATACAAAATTTATGTTATATTTGTTTGCCAAAATTTTTTGTTTCTCCGTGAATTTCTTTTCTTTAAATTCAGGAGAAACTGATTTAGAAAATAGTTTTGATTATTTTTTGTATTTGGTTTTGCTAAAAAAGTTCATTTGTTTTTGTTGATTTTCCTTGTAAAAATTACAATTACAAATATTCTTGTTGTACAATTACTGTAGGTGTATGCGTGTGTTTGTGTGTGTGTGTGTGTGTGTGCAAATTAGCTGTATGCACCACTTACAAAAAAAGTTCACAATAAACATTTTCCATTAAATGTTTATTTTTTATTGACCAAAAAAATTTGGTGTCGAAAAGAGTTTTTTTTTTTTTTTATTTTTTAGAGAATTGGATTTTGTGTTCTAGACGCAGGCAAGTGTACACTGGATTGGAATGTATGTATGCATGTTGCTATGGGAGACAAGGGACAAGGTCATGTTCACGTCTAAACAAAATCCAATTCAAGGCCAGTCTCTATATCAACAGCCACAACATCCGGTTTGGTGGCTGGGTCATCGTCATCCTTGGACTTTTTACTTTTGGACTTATCTTTCGTGGTGGCAAAGGAGGCCAGTAAACCCAGGCCACTGCCACGTCGGGAAGATTGTCCCAACTGCTCGAATCAGGAATCGACAAGGACATGCCATCTTGCCAGCAGCTCACCTTTGGCCATATCACGCATGTCCACCCAATGGGCCACCTCTTCGGGACCCGACGAATTAAGGCCCAAACTAAACCATCCAACCATTTCGTTTTTCTTCATATTACGCTTAGCGTAAACGGAAACCATTAACGTAACATCGTTCAGTTGAAACAAGGCCACCTGCAAAGCAACAACAACAACGGCTTAATCTCTTTGCATCTTTCGCACCAAATCGAATATCCTGGTTTCTTACCTGAAATACAAATGTCTCTTTAAACAGAGGATTTGGCTGGCCACGTCTCGTTGATGTCTTCGCTCTGGATATCTCCTGTCCTATACTACTAACTAGGCATAACTTAACATACGTATCTGGCGCCTTGTTTATGGACAACGTTCGAAACTGACTGCCTTTGACAATTTCAACGGTTAAACGTCCTGTGGTACCATTATAACCTAAACCTAAAAGTAGCTCGGGTACACCTCCATGTTGCATTGAAGTGGTCGAGCCGGCACTATCGGAACGGGCTAAACTTAATAGATCACTGGATGATCCCAAAATCTGCAAATAAATTGGAAAAGAACATTTATTATATCTGGGATAGTAAAATGTATATTTGTAATTGGGCAAAATTTAACCTATGCTGGACCATGAGGTTTGAGATGTTTAAAAGAAATTATTAAAATTATAAAAATTCGTACTTTATCTTAATTTTTAAAGTTTTGTTCCATATTATTTGTACGAATTTATGTTCTCGAAAACAAAGTGCAGGTCGTATTTATTATCCGCATGGCACAGATCACCAATTTCAATCAAGGACGAACACTATTTAAATTTGAGAAAATCGGCGCAGATTTGGATATAGCTCCTATATATTTTTCATCACCAAAGAGTGAAATTAAGGCCGATTTTTTTAAATTGATTCAGATTTAGATTGGGTGACGTGATAGATGTCAATCAACGGCTTTGGTTGGTGTCTCCGCGGTGTCACCCGGAGTAGCAACTTTCACCACCTTTTGAAATAGTTCGCTGATATGTGCCGCGAGTTCACCCATAAGAACTAAAACTAATGGGTTGAGGCGTCGGATTAGTTTCCCACCCTCGGAAAAAAACCCACCTACTATGAAAAAAGCAACAAAACAAAAAACCAATCCCACATATGATCGCTGCCCGGGACATTAAAATTCTGATTTAAATGCAAAAATCAGAGGGGAAAATATTTTTGGACTCGTCGTCGGAAAATTCAGCCACCATGAAGAAACATCCGACAACGGCATGATGCTGAGGTAGCATAAAAATAGTAGTTAGCAGTACCAGATTCAAGCATCTTGATATACACAAGGCCACCTGGATATCTCCCGATCAAACCAAGAGAAATCAAATTGATCATGTTCTGATAAACGGAAGGTATTTATCCAGTATTTTAGACGATCGGTCGATCCGAGGAGAGAATATCGATTCGCACCATTACCTTATAGAAGCCAAAGGTCGCGCTCGTCTTAATGTAGCAGCAAAGGTGCGAATTATCGAGAGAGGAGAAACATATTTTCAAAAAAGAAGAAAGAACAAGAAAAAAATGTACAGGAGTCAGAATGAAGTCCGAAAATATTGCCAACGTGTAAAACACCACATTTTCTTGTAGAAAATAAAGCCGCATTCGACAGCAGAGATGCAAATGTGAATAGACATCGACATAATGCGTCGAACATTGCGAGCGGTAACAGTCACCTTTGAACGAAGTGGGTCCCAGTCCCAAAGTGGGACTGGCAGTAAATGGCGAGAAGACCAAGTTGATGGTATCAACGCGCAATACGTCCAGTAGACTCAGACCAACTGTGGAACTTGAAAAGTGCAGCTTCGTGGTAGTGAACGATTTTATATACCTCGGTACCGCAATAAACAAAACTAATTAAATCAGTTTTGTAATCCGGAGAAAAATAGTCTTGGCCAACAGATGCTAACTGAGTAAGCAAAAGCAAGGCCACCTCTCGCGAGACCAAACTCACTCTCTAAAGACGTTGATATTACATGTGCTGTTGTATGGATCTGAAGCATGGGTACTTGCGCAAGCAGGTGAGGCAGCTCTTGGCATTTTTGAGAAAAAAATTCTCCGGAAAATATATGCGCCGATCTGCGTCGACGGTGAATATCGCCGTCGAATAAACCATCGCGCTGCAGCAACTACGTTGGCTAGGCCATGTTGTGAGACTGGATGAAGATGCCTCAGGTCAAAAAAGCGAGCCAAGTGATGGTTCACGCAGAAAAGGGAAGGCCAAAAATCCATTGGAAAGATCAAGTAGAAGAAAAAGGCCTTTCAAATTGGATGAGATGCGCACAAGGCCGGCGTGCTTGGAAATCCTTTTTAAGTTCGGCTTATGGAACAACCGTTCTGTCATAAGCCATCTAAGAAAGTAAGTATTACAACAGTCCCCACATTAATGTTCAGGATTCTACATTTGTATTTAAAATGTTCTTATTTTAGTACAAATTTCCAAAGCAAAATTTCATTTCAACCCTGTACAATAGCGATCTCCATACCGAATTTCAATATTTTAACGCTATTCATGTAAAATTACCGCTGTACTAAATTTGTACTATTTTCAAGGCCTTATAATATCTCTATAAACTAATAGCAATCTTCCACCAAAATTTAAATACTAAATGTACTAATTTAATACTAAATGTACTAATTTTAGTACTTTTTATACCCTACACAACTATGTAGTCAGGGCATTATAGCTTTGAGCAGTCCCAAGAGTTTGTAACGTCCCGAAATAATGGTTTTAGACCCGCCTTTAAGTATACCGATCATATCATATCTCGACTAACTGAGTCGATCTACATATGTGTGTACGTCCGTCCGTCTGTCCATTATAATTTGTAAACACGATAAAGGCCGCAGTTTTGAACCAATCGTCGCGAAATTTTGCATCTAGTATGGGTTCTGGCCAACGAATACCCCTATTGTTTGATCCGTTCATATTTAGGTGATGCAATGGACCAACAACTTTGTTTGTTTTGTCTGTTTTTCTGGTCGCTCTAGAGGCCAAAATTATGGTCCATACATGACGAAATTTTACACGGAGAAGGTGATTAGGTCAAAGAATAAGCGTTTATGTTTTGATAAGGATCGGTCAATATTTAATGGGTCAAATGGATCCAGACTTTTAGTATTGCCATTACCACATTAGAGGGTGGAAATGTAGGAAGGAAATTTTGGAAATTTTGTTTGAGTTTGAAGGTATGGTCAAGACGACGCATGTAATTTTAGATAACGATTAAATGATATTATGGGGATGAAATGGACCCAGAGCTTTATTTTTGTCTGGTTTTCTAGTTGCTTTAAGCGTCACAAATATCAACCGACCATCACAAATTTTCCATGGAGAAGGCGATATTACCAACTACTCGAATGGATGTCTTGATGATGAACGGATAAATGAACCAAAACTTTTTTGTGTAGAATAACAAAATGTTATTATTATGGAGTAATATTACACAGCCTCGGAATATAGATCTGCATGAACTTAGAGCTCAGTGGATGTTGTGTAGGGTATCATATGGTCGGAACTAATTTACAAATCCAACTCCTAACCTCAACCATGTACAGCAATCCCCATACCCATTTTAAATACTAATTTATTAATTTATCACTGTTATTACTCATATCAGTACTTTTCGAACATATAAAATTTCGGAATATGAACATACGAATTATAAAAAACCGCCTCATTAACACATATTTAATTTCAAGAATCTACCTCTATGCATACTTTTCCGTGTAAACGAATTTGCACAAAACCAAATTTCAAGATTCTAGCTTCTGCCGTTTCTCCAGGGCGTTGATTATTGAAAGTAGTAATTGTATGACATTTTAGTACTTTACGTACCCTTTTAGTACGAATTTCCAAAAACCAAGCCTTATCGTAAGCATATATGTCAATACTGTCCTTCACACAAAATTTCGGGGTTCTAGCTTCAGTCGTTTCGTCTGGGTGTTGATTGTCAAGTTTAGTAATTTTCGCACCTTTATAGTAAGAATTTCCCCAAATTCAGCCCTAACCTCCATCTACGCACAAACACTGACCCACATACAAAATTTTAAGGGACATTGATTTTATGCCCTTTTGAAAATTTCTTAAGATACTCTTGTATATATGTATATAGACATTCATAAACTTACCGATGATGTATTTCTTGGCTCCAATGGTAGCCATAGATTTGTTTCCAATTCCAAATCTATGGTAGCAAAGCTGACATACGCTTCACCGATCAGTCGTTCCTTGCGCAAACGTTCACATCCATACAAACGTACACGCAAGCCCATATTGTTCACCTCTTCGGGTGTGACACGATGCAGTAGAAAACTCTCCATATATTGGGGATTTTCACCCGATCGTATTTTGGTCTTGTGTTTCTGTTTCTTATTCGGTAGCATAAGAAGGCGCACTTGCGTGTGACACTGTTGGCCATTGCCCAAAGTGGGTAGACCGCGAGCCTGAAATAAAAACATTTGATTTTTATTTCATGGAAAATGTCGTGAAAGTGTTGAACTTACCTGTAATACATGCACCGTCATCTTGCGCATGGGTGCATCATACAAAAGCGAAATTTCAATACTGCCCGATTTACCATAACACTGGGTCTGTAGTGAGATATCATCGGATTTAATTGATCTTAAATCACTCGTATCAAATAAAGGTTCCTGTGCCAATTAAAAAATACAAAATTAAAATTTAATAAAAAATCTCTGAAGTTTTTGTTGACATGTCAAATCTTACATCTTCATTGTTGTTGTTAGTATTATTGTTATTACTGGTGGTTGTGGTGTTGTTGCTGTTAGTTATTTGTGTATTGTTGTTGCATGTCGGTATATTGGGCACTTCTTCTATACTGTCTTGGCGTGGCGGCGTTGTTGCATTTGAACTTGTTGCTGTTGTTGTTAGTTTGTGATATTTTGTTGTTTTTATTGGTTCGGCATTTAAATCGATGCGTGACTCTTTCAGCGAAGCACTCTGTGATATATCGGAAGTTTTACTTATTGATGCATGGCGTTCTGTTATAAAAGAAGAAAACACAATTTAAAAAAAAACAATTGAAGAAAAAACATCAAATAGAAAAGATTTTAAGATCCTCCCAGTGATTTAGCTGAGAACTTTAAAATAGATGCTCAGTAAAAGTAACCAAAAATTCCCCATTTGCAATATCATAAAGTGGTAGTTCCAAATCGTCAGAACTCTGATCACTCACGGATATTTAAAATTACCTTTCTTTTCGCCACTTAATATCCCCGTATGACTATCAATTGATGCCTCAACCGAATCATTGGAACTACATTCACTGTGTGACGATGGTATACCAACTTTACCACGTTCAGCAATGGCCAATGGGTCTTTCGATGAATCCCGCGGCGTTACAGTCACACGCTGTAGATCACTATTAAAATAATTGAAATTTTGTGACAAGGGATTTAATTGATTTATGCCATAGTTGGTAAAACTGCCACTCCCACTGCCGGACGATGCTATGCGTGCCTGTTGTAAGCGTAATCTACGCAAAATATCCTCCTCCGAATCGGAACTTGTATTGTCGTAGCGACGTTTTCGTGCTAGAGTATTTAAATGATATTAATTATTTGATTGCAATATTCAAAGAGAAAAAATCTACTTACATAGTTTCTGTACACATTTTGATGCCAAGTGTTTCTCATCGCAGCAGTGCAGTCCTCGACGGGCATGAAAACACCATTTCCGATTAACATAAAGAAAAAATAATAGCATTAACGCTACCACACCAAATACGGCAGACAATACTGTGGTGATTTCAACAGTTCCTGAAAAATATACACACATATTTATTATATATTCAAACTCATTTCCATCAAAATGTTACATTTAAAATTTCAATATATTAAATTTTAAAACATGAATATATTATACTTCTGTTATCATAAAAAATTACTAAAAATACGACTTCGTTTTTTATACCCTACACAACTATGTTGTCAGGATGTTATAGCTTTGTGCAGCCCTAAGTGTTTACAACGCCACCGTCCTAGACCACTAATATACCGATCGTCATATCTCGACTAGCTGAGTCCATTATAATTTGTAAACACGAGACCCCCATTGTTTTTGGTAAAGATCAGTTAATATGTAGGGAATGAAATGGACCAAAAAACTTAAATTTTGTTTGTTTTACTGATCGCTCTAGAGTCCGCAATTATGACCCGAACATCACGAAATTTTGCATGCATAAGACGTTTTGATAATGATCGGTCAATATTTATTGCGCAAAATGGACTCTGACTTTTTTGTGAAAAGTAGCAAAATTTGCCTTCTATGAAAAACATAGATCGAAGAAGTTGACAATATATCCAAGAGGAATGGATGGCCTTTAAACTGATATCATCAAATTTTAACAAAATTTGAATCTTATGAGGTAAATTTTTACCCCGAAAAACCATTAGTCGGAAAAGATGCCGCAGAGGATCTGTTGACCTCAAAACTTAGAGCTCATTGGAAGTTGTGTAGCGTACCATATGGTCGGTCCCGTCCGACTATACTGCTCCGCTGTTTAACTGGTTTAATATTACATTTACAAATTTTTATTCTGGAAAACTTTAAAAATAGTTTATATTATATATGGATAGCGGAATTCTTGTATAGTCAAAATAAATAAACTTTAATTAAGCTACACAATATACTATTTACATTAGAATACAAAATAGAATATTTAGTATAAATTTGAAATAATTCAAATAATGATAGAACCTATCATCTTATCTTATTTTTTTTTTTTAATTTCAGATTTTACTCCGCATTTCTTCGAACAGATACGTTAATGTTTCCATTCTACTAAATTGAGTACAACTTATATTTGTATTTTCTGAAAGTGTATTATTATTTTCTCGATCCTGGATCAATGCAAATAGTACGTTTTTTAAATTTTTTGGTCCTCAGGCAATTTCATGCTTATGTTAAAATATGTAGTACGTTTTAGTACTTGTGTACCCTTTCAATTTGTAATGTAATATTTTGCACAGCGCATCATTTATTATTCAGAGACCTGCCTTTATTGGGAAGATTTCCATTAAAATTGCTGAAATTTATTGACGTGTTATAAAATCCACATTGGAAAAAATTTTCGGTATTCCTATACATAAAGACATACATAAAGATCCCGCAAATTATTAATTACATCGAAAGTATGGTTGAAAACATCATTGGAAATAAATATCAATATTGTTATGGCAGAAATTTTAGAAACATTTGCGTTTAAAAATGCCAACAATTTAGGACTTGTGGTGTTCAGCGGCTTGTCTCGTCCGTTTTTCACTATATCGGAAGTTTAAACCAAAGTTCAAAGATTAGTACTAAAATTTGGACATCTATCTCTAACCATTTCTATTTTGTACTTTCTAATGCAAATTTCGAAAAAAAAAACTTTTTTGAAATGTTATAGCTAAATAAACATAAAAAATTGGAGGGCTCTACCTCTACTCGTTCTGTCGTACCAAATATTTATTAAATTAAGCACAAATATCCAACAAAATTGCGAAAAGCATTGTTTTTCATATAAAAACCTTGTTCTATATCCACCCGTACTGCATTATACATTGTTTTGTACTTTTGTCATAGTTGCAGATAAGTATTTTATAACAGGATCCTATCTTTATAGAGCATATCGCTCAATTAGCTGTAGCCCAATACTAAATTTCAGATTTCAATCTCTATATTTTCCATTATAATTTAATATTTTTTTATCAAATTAGTATTAATTTCAAAAATATATTAATGTATAGCATAGTATTGATAATAGTTAAATCTATTATACTATAGTATTTAGTAAATTTTAGTACTAATTTCAAAAAAATTATGCATGACATTCTATTTGTAATAAATAGAGTAAGCTACATACTAAATTTCAGATTCTTATTTCTACCTGTTTTGCTGTATTTTATTATTTCGTACTTTGTATCACCACTTTAGTACTTATTTCCAAAAAATGAAATGCGTAGCATTCTATTTGTAATAGTTAAATCTATATGCAAAGTTTGACATTTTTATCTCTATCGGCTATATTGCAATATAATATTTACAACTTTTTAGTACATTTTAGTATTAATTTCCAAAAAATATGTTTACCCATCATTCTATTTATATTAGCTAAAGTTACACACCAAATGTCAGATATCTATCCCTACCTTTTCCATCGTAGCTACATGCCAAGTTTCAGATACGTATATCTACCAATTCCATACAAATATAATATTTAGTACTTTTTAGCACCTCTTAGTACTAAATTTACACATATCACTTCGCTTATCCCAGGAAAATCTGCATACCAAATTTCAGAGTTCTATATCTAACCGTTCCGGTGTAACACAGTTTTAGTACTTTTTAGTACCATTTTAGTACTAATTTCTAAAAAATATGTTTGCACATTATTCTATTTATAGCAGCTTAAGCTCCATACTAAGTTTCAGATATGTATTCCTACCGATTCCATTCAAATATAATATTTAGTACTTTTTAGTACCTCGTAGTACTAAATTCCATTTTTTTCACACATACCACTTCGCTTATCGTAGGCAAAGCTGAATACGGAATTTCAAAGTTCTACATCTAACCGTTACCGCGTTATACAGTTTTTAGTACTTTTTAGTACCTTTTAGTACGAATTTCCAAAAACCCCGCCCTATCACACGCCTACGCACCAAACCCGACCTGCATGCCAAATTTCAAGTTTCTAGCTTTACCCGTTTCCGTTTAGATTTGTACATAACATATATATTTTCTATTTCAATTCAATGGCCCTTCCAACATGCATTTCTTGCATATACCCAAAGTGGTGAAAGGTGTGGTGTGTATTCCAAATTTCTAAAAAGGTCGGAGCCGTCATAGACTTTTTCATTGTATATTGTCTGCTAGTTGGTTGTTTATAGGCTGGAAAACTGAGCTAGTAACATAAACGTAGCGAAAAATTAAACGAGACGATTGTATTGGCGCTAGTTAAAAGCAAGAACTTATATTGAAAATCTTCCGGGAATAAGTTTTTTGGTTGCAAAAATCTAGAATGTCAAATTACAATTACGACAATTCAGCAGACTATTCCTAATATTGGTGCTATGTCAAAAAAAATTCTCCTCGCGAGAACCCAGAATGCCAAATTAGAACCACTTTGGTGAAAAAATGCGATTAATACCGCAAATGGGGCAGGTCCTGTATATGGAGGCTCTGTCAAAAAAATGGATCTATATAAAAAACTAACCATTATTTTTGATTACAGCAGCACTCCAACGAGGCATTGCACCTATAAGCGGCTCAATTTGATTCTTGCATATACTATTCCTCACATCCTGAACCTTTGGGAATAAGTTATTTTTGTTTGTTTGTGATCTCTTGATTTTGCTATCTATGATTATCCAAAGATCTGATGATTGTGTTGGCCATTATAAGACCCTGATGTTTGACTCCCTCAACCAATCTGTGACTTGTTTCCGTTATTGCCAAGCTGGACCCAAACAAGCGGTATATTTTCTTCAGAGAAGGGAACCATAGCATTTTGAAGAAACTTACATAAACAATCTGATCCACTACTTCATAAATCTCGTAAATAGATCAAAATTTGCAAAAAGAACAGTTGAATTTATGTTTGCAACAATGAATTTATTCTTTTTTCACTAGTGGGCCCCCTCGAAATCCTGTATACATTCCTGCCCTCTACCATAGGTATAGTGATAGTTACTTGAAATGAAAATATAGGGAACATACCAAAAAGTATATCTTATCAATATTGATTACATAGTGAAGAAATTAACGAATATGGCCCATTTGAGAACTTATATAGCTCAATTTCGAAATACCGAAAATGGGTAGGTATCAAATATATGGGGGCTTGGCCTAAAGTACTAAATTACAGCTAATTCGGTCGAAAAAAACGCACAAAACCTGCAAAATATCGAAATATGGGAGTATCTTTATATGGGAGCAATCCGAAAAGGCTGGACCTATACTTATATTTCTTACTGGAGAGATTTGGTACCTAATAAGAACTCAAAGTGCCAAATTACAGAGAATTCGATTGGAAAGCCCGATCAAGAACCCCACAATATAGAATTTACCAGAAAAATGGACGCAAAATACCAAACTACAGAGAATTCGGTTGAAAAGGCACTCAAAAAACCCAAAATATCGAAAAAAAATTATATAATTTTTATTGTGCTAAATTTCAGGGAATTCGGTTCAAAAACGCGCCCAAAACCCTCAAAATACTGAAAATTTTGAGGTAACCTTATATGGGGGATATACGAAAAAGTAGACCTATATTTATAATGTTTAGTGGAGAAATTTGGTACCTAATAAGAACCCAATGTACCAAATTTCACCGTTATATGCATGCAGACAAAAGATTCGTTTACAGAATCGAGTGATTACAACAGACAGACGGAAATCGTCATAGAATTTTACACTGATCCAATATATAAACAAACGGAAAAATAAACTTAATATACCCCCCGTATTATGGTAGGTGGCTAAAACCATATGAACCAATTTAAACAAAACTTCTAAACTCAATACGGTATGTACAAACCTTGGCAATTTAGCGCACCATTTACATAAAATCGGGCGAAAAATATCAACAAAACTTCATATACGGTAATCTTTCCATAATTCAGTACTCTTTGCAAAATGTTGTCTTGTCGGACTAATGTTGGGAGTTTGGTGCACCATTTACATAAAATCGGACGAAAAAATATAAGGGAGCTATATCTATGTACATCTGATCCGATTTTCTCCAATTAAAAACCAGTAAGGAAAGTAGTAAAGTCGGACGGGGCCGACTATATAATACCCTTCACCACTATGGGTATATTAAACAGGACTATAACATAAAATTGGATGAAAAAAATGTGATATTTATCTAAATGTGAATCTACCTAGATCTATCCATAAAGTATGTCAATCGACTTCACACAAATACAAATAGGTCATCCGTTGGGCTATGTCTGCACTTCTAGAAAACGCAACTACGTAATTCTATGCTCCATTTTGTAAGTTGTGCAAAATTTGTTGTCAATCTGACTAACATGAGGAGTTTGATGCCCAATTTACTTGAAATCGGGCGAAAATATATATATGGAAGCTCTATCCAAATATTGAGCGATTTCAAACAAACTTGTCACAGGTTAGGATATACTAATTTCAGAACGTTTTGTTCCTATTGGTTCCTTAGTACGTCAATTATTTAAAATCAATCTATAATAAAAGGGAGCTATATCTAAATCTGGACCGATTTTCACGAAACTTGGCAGACATCATTCTAGGCTCAATTAAGTACGTTATGCCAAATTTCGTGCAAATCGAAGGATATATAGGGACTTTGGTGCACCATTTACATGAAATCGGACGAAACTATATATGGGAGCTATATCTAAATCTTGACCTATTTTCACGAAACTTGGCAGACATCACTCTAGGCTTAATTCAGCACGTTATACCAAATTTCGTGCAAATCAAAAGATATATAGGGACTTTGGGGCACCATTTACATGAAATCGGACGAAACTATATATGGGAGCTATATCTAAATCTGGACCGATTTTCACAAAACTTGGCAGACATCATTCTAGACCTAAATGATTAGGCTGTACCAAATTTCGTGCAAATCGAAAGATATATAGGGACCGTTTACATTAAATCGGTTAAATATATATATGGGAGCTATATCTAAATCTGAACCGATTTTTCCCAATAGGGTTCGTCCTTGGGCCGAATAAGTGATCTATGCCAAATTTCATCCAATTCGGATCATAAATGCGACCTGTACTTTGTTTACAATTTAACATGGACAGACAGACAGACGGACGGACGGACATGCATAAATCGACTTAGAAAGTGATTCTATGCATATTCTCAAAAGGAACCATGTGTCTATCTCGTTTCCTTTTGCCTGTTACAAACATATGCACAAAGACATAATACCCTGTACCACAGTGTGGTGAAGGGTATAAAAATTCCAGCCAATTCGATTCAATTAGAAATTATTAATTAAATTAACACTAAAATATTCATTTTTAATGGACTTTATATATGGAACTGTTTAAAAACGTGGAGGATTTAGGATATATTCATTTAAAGGAGAACCACCAGATCCATGTAATTAATACATCCTGATTGGCATTTATTAATATATTATATTGAGGGAAGTTTTTAATGATGATGAAAATTCCGGATCCGTTTTCCACGAACACATGCCTTAAAGATATTCGGTATGATGTGATCTATTTACGAAAATATTTCCGATTAATTCAGCTATTAGATGGAGTGTGTACTAAATTTGCCATCCCGTTTTCTAATACCTCGAAATATGCGTAGGAGACACTATAAAGTTTATATGGGAAATTACAAAAATGTTTTAAATTCCTTGAAACTGAGGTGGTAATGTAAAAAAATGGCTCAAATTCAATTCAATTCAATTTTATTCATCCATTTATCAGTTACATTTTATACATATAATTATAGTTACAATTTAAGAGATTTATCAAAAAGATATTACATCTAATAAATACTGTACAAAAATTTTATTTTATGATATATTATATATAAAGATTATTGAAGGAAAATTTGGGTTAAAACCTTCATTTAAGTTCGGATAAAAAAAAATTTCAAACATTTTGGAAAATATATGCGTATGATAGAATATTAATATAATAGTCTTAAATACATCATATTTTTCCATTTGGTAATTTTGCATGTACATTTAAAGTTTTGTTAATTCTATGTCAACTCAAATTATTACATAATTAGAAGCTAAAAGTTTTTTCAAAAATGTGATTGTTAATTCATATAATTTCGTAAGTAGAATTTTGTAAATTTGATTATATTAATTCTATGCATTCTCTAACAAGTGGATAAGAGGAATGTTCGATTTTAGTATAAAAGTTTAGATTTATCCTACTAATATAATCAGTGAACCTCTCGTATCCGGTTTCGACGTGTAATGCTCGAGTGGAATGTCTCCAATGCTTGTTAAATATCGTTTTCAGACATTTATTTTGCAATATTTGCAATTTATTTAAATGGCATTTAGCAGCTTTGTACCAGACTGGAGATCCATAAGATAAAATAGGTCGTATCACAGATTTA